CCCGTCCCCCGCCTCCCCCTCACCCTGACGCTTGGCCTGTCGCCTTTGTATCCAAACCAAGACCTAACATGTCCGGACCTTTGTCATAGTTAACCTCTCTTGGTCATGGACAAGTACATGAGCTCTCGAGGAAGTTGTGGATCGCCCCAGGATGTACATATAGTCTGACTATAAGTTTCCCATCAAATTTTATTCATTTACCTGTACATATATATCAAATAGCCCATCACTGCCGTGATGACTCTATTATCATGCATGGCTGATTTACATGTGTATTTAGTATTAGGTCGACTGATGAGAAGCAACTGTGAGCAATTACACTGTCTCCTTGACACGTAACATTAAGGGCTCTTGGTTGGTTAATTCCTCCAGCTAGTTTCAAATACGCACGACACGCCTGAGAAGACGCACTCAGCTGTACTCGGGAGCTGGGGGTCCTTCGATATTAAATGAGGCTTAGGATCGGCAATACGGAAATATCGTGGGAAGTCCTTCATCTCCCATCCTCTCCGCACTGTAATTCATTATCGTCCTGCTAAGTAGATCGCTGAAAGCAATGAGGATTTCACGGTGCTAATTATTAAAGACGAGTTTACTGAAGGCTATCCCATGGCTTATCAGATGAAAGCGTTATTATGTTTTTTTTAATACGTGGATTTTTATACAAACACATATGTTCTGTGATATAGTACGTTAATGCATGTGCATATAAGTACTCAGTACAATTGGACGCTTTAAAATTGTACTTGTACGTACGATGCTTATTTACTTTTATGAAGGGTAAACTGTTAAACGCAAATAGAGATTAGACGGTTATTCTATTAAATACGTGAAGTACGAGTACCTGTTAACGATCTATTATATGTAATTATAACTATGTAACGACGTACAATTTCTATTTGCCATCCCACACGGAAATGGCACACATTGTAACTTGTAGTAATTAAATTTACTCCAGCTAGGAGATTCGTTTCTCTAATCAGACCAGCGCATCGAACTTCTGGTGACTCGGTATTGTCATTACGTATAAATATCCAGTTGAAATGAGAAATTTTAAGGCAATTATTATATAATCATGGGATATTATTTGATACTATTTTATTTAACACGAGTGATCATGTAAAATGATTGTTTATTGAAATTGGAGTCTCTTTGGGCAATATTAACTGATAAGAAAAAAGGATAAGACAAAAAAGTCTTTGGTGCCCATACTCTAATTAGTACTTATGTTTGAATAGCTGGGAGCGAGACTCTTCTCGTTTGAAAGGCACCGGAAGAAATTGGATGGATGATGCGATGGTCTGAGGTGCTGATGCTGAGACCGAAGAGACATCCGGGACCGCCGAGGATGCTGCTATTAGACTAATTAAGGCGTCTTTAAGATTTAACAAGTCCTCTTGGATGGCTTAAGGTCTCGTATAAAACCCACGTTGGCCGTATGTGGCGCGAAACACACGAAGAGAGTATTTGCAAGTCGTTTTGAAAATTGCCGGCGTCAAAGGCAACCGGCCTACATTTCTTGAAAGCGATCAAAGGCGTTTTATAACACAGTATACGTGACTAGCTGACTAAAGGAATGAGAGGTAGATATACATCTACTGGGTTAAACAGAGACAGGTTAATCTTTAAAGTTACCTTAATTAGATGAGAAATTGAGTAGTCCCTACGTATAGTAAAGAATGATATTTCTTCAATGTAAAAGTGAAAAAGAAAGAAAAAGAAAAAGCAGGGCTGGAGTGAATAAGAAAAAAAACGAATGGTGAATGCATCTGTATATATATGTAGATGGGATGTAAGATGATTTATATATGGGAATTATGGATAAATTCGAATATGAAATTGGGATTAATATTCTAGCGCCCGGTGACGTGAACAGGACATTAGCCAGTCTTGCTTTATTAATAGAACCTCACGAAGGACTCAATGTGTCAAGAAGTCCAGAGCAGCCAATCATCAATCAGCGGAAGTTAAATGGCCGGGACAACGGGTTTTAATATCTCCGGGTGAAATAAAAGTTGCTGCGATAAATCAAAAGTGAAAAGTCACCGTCTAACTCTCTGTCTGGCCACCATTCAGCTAGGAGGAAAATGGCAACTTCCAACCTCTCCAATGGCTTCTAATACCCTCCCCCCACCCTATCGGTAGAGCCTTGGTCGAAGTGATAAATGAATTTCTCCCTGCCTATTTATATCTATGGTCCGGAGACGCTTTTCAGCATCGCGTCAATTCGATAATCTCGAGTAATAATCCTGGATAAGTGATTCGATTAGCCGAAGCATCTATTAAGGCTTACCCATAAGTGAATCTTAATTATTCGATAAATCTAAAGAATCGATATCTCGTTGCTAAATAAGTTAAATCTGAATGCGAGATGGAAAATTAATTAAACAAACATAATTACATTCATTATTCTCGTGTGATTTTATTTCCGAAAAAACCCACAGGAATTCATTCAACGCGATGTCGACATTTAAGTCGATAATTGCCAGTGAAATGTACATGCGTCCACGTGCTATGGAGGTCAGGCTAACCTCGATGAATAACGAAATTAGCAATAATTATTCAAGTATATTCACCGGAACTACTGGCAGTGGTGGCTACTGGATAAAATATGATCTGGAGTTTGGCCGGCTGGCTGGCTGGTGGCTAATATGTTTGAGGGTGAAGTTAGTAACAGGTGGCGCGATCCATAACGGCTCTGCTTCGCCGTTGTGCTCCTGTGCACACGCGCCTACGGGAAAACTTTAATTAAAAATAAAAAGTTATTTGTTCTGTTGCAGAATCCGCTCCTCCGAGCACGAGTCCAAGTCCGCCCACCACTGACTTGTCCAGAAAAGGTAAGTTACGTGGTTAATGTCCGAAGCGCAACCACTTCCCTGGCTCTCTTTAACAAGAACTGTTAAATATATTTTGTTCATTTTTTTTTTCAAGTGCACCTCAAAAAAATTACTCACGCATATCACGGATTTTACATGCTGATTCAATTTTATTTTGCATACTTGAATTTCCTCGGGAGACTCCGCTAAAGTGGTTGATGTTTTTTCTTTCCTTTCTTTTGCAAATTTGTGCAACAATCATTCCGCCCGCTTAAACTGCTTAAGGCACATGCAAATGTCCAACAAGGATTAAACTGCGTTCCATTGAAAATAAACGGTACCTTTAAGCATCTTTGTACATATACCAAACACAATACACATGTTAAACCATGTACAAGCCTGTTCCCTAAAACCATTTTCATCCCTAATTCGCAGCAACCCTCTCTGCATCCCTTTAACAGCTTGCCGACCTTTTTTTTTATTCGCAATTTTCCGGAGATCCTCCTGTCCTCCTCCCCCCGATGGTAACAGAGAGAATCGAATTCCGTTACGAGTCATTAATCTTCCTGGTCGACGTCGTCGCGACGTCCAGGACACACTGACACGTTGAGCGTCTCGTCTCTTCAATTCTCTTTATGTTTCTGACCTGCTCTTTATATCCCTTTTCTTTTACCACTTTCATACGTATAAAAGTATCTATAGTATACACCCACACGAACTATACTAATATCCATTCTAAATTCTTTTACATTAACATTTTTAGACTGGGACGTATTTACGGAGTTGAATAATTCCGTTTACGGAAATCCCAGTTCCCTCACGATTCACGAGAAGAATATAAAAACAGGTGACTACTCATGAAATATTGTTCTTCTATTATTAAAAAAAAAAAAAAAAAACTTACAACCAGTCAGAACCAAAGGAGAATCCAGGAGCATTAGTACCGTCATAAGAAAAATACGTGAGATAGATGACGACGTGACGTCAGATATCAAAAATTTAATTTATCCCAAGTCAATATCCAGAGAGCGTCGATCATACATATAGGATTTACTCTGACATTGTAAAAGCTAGATAATTCCCATAACGATAATGATGACGATAACATGAAATTTAATGATTGACCAGACTGATCTGACCAATTCTAGAAATTAGACGCTTACGTGTCTAACTCCAATGGAAGATACCCTTGAGAGAGGCAGCAGACGAATTTTCTGTGGCTATACCGTAAACTCCTTAACTTTAACTCGGGAGGGGTTAACTAGTGCAATCCTTGGAGCTTCCTCGAAAATCGTGAAGGGGTGTTACGGCTTTAAGAGTAGCTTTAAGGCAATCAGGCTGCTTTAGCTCGAAAGAGAGAGAGAGAGAGAGAGAGAGAGAGAGAGAGGAGAAAATAAGAGTGAGAGAAGGTGCGAGTGAGAAAGCTCGTTATGGAAACTCAACTCAGGATGCCGACTCCGTCGAGGGTACGGGGATGTAACATCAATATTTCATGTATGCTAACACGCCAGAACTAATAATGCTCCAGCGAGGAAGACCCAAGAATAATATCAGCCTCCACTCCACAGTCTCCTGGTTCGTTCGGCAGTAGCATAGCAGCAGGCCGTTTATGCCTTATATATTAAATTTAATCTAAAGTGCAAGTGTTTTCGAAAATGTCTCGCCTATGACTAAAAGTCACGGTACCAGCTACCTAGAACCTACAACCAACCTAAAACTGCCAGGTTGCAGACCCCGGCGTGGTTCAAATGGCTTATGCTTTGAGGTCTGGGGTGAGGTTTGTAATTGGCGCAACATCTGCGGTCTGTGGAGCATTAATGTTTGCTCCCTCGTACCTACCACCTAGCTTATCCATATACCCAGCAACCTACCAACCTACCGACCTACCAACCGTGCTTGCTAGGAACCTACGCACCTACGTGTCCACTTCAACAGTCTGTTTGTACACGCGGGTTATGCAATGTCCCTTTCGCTATCGAGGAGACTTGTTGGAGTGGCCATGATATATAGGTATATATGTATTATATATTATGTTATATCTTAATCAGGACACTTGAAGTTGCCGCGATCGAGAACTAGTTCAAATTCTGTTTAATTGTCCCGTATCATGTACCACGTTCCCTATCCAATGGCTTAGCAGAGAAAAGGAAAAATGCGTATCCCTTCATTTCTTCCACAGAACGTCAACGTCTGATTCCAGCCCTCTCCCACTTCCGATGTGCAAGTTACAGGATAGTTATGAAATAAATTAGTAATGAATGCCGTGCATTGTTATAATATTTTTATTTTTTTTCTACACGTCGCAACTAGGAGAGGGCTGGAATTTGGTGAGGACGTTCTGTGAACAAAATAAATTAATACGTGTCTTTTCTTTTCTCTGTTAAAACAATTTTGCAATTTGGTCTTTCCTCGTGACTCGGGGATGCTCGTAATAACTTGTGAAATACTCTGGGGTTAAATCCCTTGTACTTCGGAACATGAAATTACATGGAATCATCGTAGACGAACTCGTTACATGCTGCGGGACAATTAGACGAAATTTGATTATCTGAAAAGGGAGAACAAAGAGCATCGATGGATCGTTGTTGTAGGTTACCATAATTAAACGTCTTTTACATACAAACGATGCATTGATTACTTATATAAAACTTATTAGCAATCTTACTACCCATCGTACAGAGGTACAAGTCGTTGGGCAGATGCGATTATTTTGGATAACCTGGCCCTTGATTTTTGGGTTATTGTCTATTTTTGTGGCACACGTCGAATCTGTCAAAATATTTGATCGCCGAACCACATCACTAGATTTTGGCACGAAAACGAAGGGGAACTCGTTCTCGGATACTTGGGGTGCCCTACTTGGGATGGGACATACCGTATACAGGCTGAGTTATCCTAGACTTCGAATCTGGAAGGAGCTCCCATATGTATTACGTGCGCTATTCTCTAATCAGATTGCCCGCACCTATAGGCAAGGCATTCTTGATATCGTATTATAAACATGTCAGGGTACGGATATGCACGAAAGTTTTCTATTCAAATGGTTCCCTCGGTTCTCTGTCAACGATCGACTATAATTTCTTATCAATGACTCGCTTACAGAGTCACTCAAGTTATCGTGTCAATCTCACCTTAAGCAGAGACCGCAGATAGTGTGATTAGAGAATAGCGCGCCTAAAACATACGAAGGCTCCTCCCAGATTCGGAGTCTAAGATAATTCATCCATCTTTTTATCCAGAACGTATGATAATTGTATGCAAATAAATTGAACATCTAATTTACTGATAATTTGGCGCTAATTAATATAGCATTATATTTGTCTACTTTGACATTTCATTATTTTGCGAAACCACACTACTCGTAGCGATAATGAATTACGTTACTAGCAAACAGATGACGATTCAATGAAGGCAGAAAGTGAATTGCAATAACAATAGATCGAAATCATGTACCATAAGAGAAAGGATTTGATATTCGGTAACAATAGCAATTACTTGTTCGATATTGCTAAACGCTACTCTACCAGTCAGGAAATGCATTCAGCATATAGACACAGTCACATTATCTACAAGAAAAATGATGCTATTGCAGAGCATTTGGCATAAACGGGATTTGTAGAATTCGATAGAGATTCCGAAAGATGATTAAACACCGGCGTGGATGATATCGTTATACTGCAGATCTGATCTAAAGAACCACAGTGTTCATACACTTCCGGGGTATGTTACAAATAGAGAAAGAGAAAGAAGCTGGAAGGAAAATGCAATCTTCCCTTCGTAACGGCGGCATTTTGTCCCAATGCCAAAGCCATTGGCGTACCGATCTAGAACTTCGGGTCATAGAGTTATCTCGTTCTTGTACGAAGACACCAAACATAGAATGGTCAGCCTATAATTTCTCGAGAACGGTAGATTGGCTTAGCCGCGTGCCTGCATATGGTTAACGCGAGCTGGTATCTATCGTACCTACGTACACTCGGGCTTTATACGCGGACCCTCTGAGGTGGTTAAACTGGGTAGCAATAGGCGGTTATAGGCCATACTATGTAGCGACCTACAGCATATGTACATACCTAAGTATATATATATATAACATACATAGAGCTCGTAGATGCTATAGGGTCGTCGCATTGCCGGTTCGTACCATAGTACGCTGTCACTGCTAATGTTTGGCCAAGATTTGCATACGTCTGTCTTCCCTATCCATTCCTCCGTACACTATCCTCGTCCTGGATCCACCGGGTATATCCATCCTTCGTTATACGTATACCTGTACAATCATCTGTCCAGGTACATGGGTCTAGACGACACAGTAGCATGATCGCCAATTACCTTACCAAAATAGGCTATTGTGCCAAGAGCACCTTGCAGATTGGCGAAGTGACGCTGAATTTGCAAATCCAATCGGAATCAAATCACAGATCCTACTTGACATCCCTGCTTTATAGATTCTTATTCCTTTGGAATTTCAAGTCGTTCTTTTGACTTTTACCTGATTTACAGTCATTCCGATAGGACGTGGCGGCAACAGATGGTTTTAAAAAATCTAGATAATATTTATAGCTATTTTTATTATTTATCAGCTTTCACTGTTATTCACCCTTGTATTCGCTTGCTTTTCTCTAGGGCTACTTATGCACAGAGGGTGGAGGGTTGGGTACGAAGGGAGGCTATGAGGGTGCTCTGACTATTTGTAGAGATGAACGGCAAACATTGGTGAAATATCGTGTTGGATTTTGCAAAGTGTTCAGGGGCTGGGCTAATGCATCGCGAACTGTCCACAAGCGCAGTGCGAAGGTCGTTTAAAAGCAGGACGAATGGTTGGAATACAATATTAGATTGAGGATACGAAGAAGAACATTGAGAATAAGAGAATTCTGTTTATACGGAGTTTGCATACTAGTTAGCAGCGTGTATCAAGTACGACAGCAATGACTGCATACGTAACGGGCATGTAAACATGTTAAACCTGAGGCACTATTCGTTGCACGTCCCTTTGTCTTAACTCGGTGCAATGTCTTAGATTACAATTCCTAAGGTATATATATAATGTATAGTATAGCAGAGCCGTAAAACGACCTACGAGTACAAGGTGAAGCTCAGGGGACTCTTGTACATTGAAACTCATAAGGAGATGGCCTCTCAGAAACAAATTTACTTTTTGACGGACTACAGCTGACTGTACGACATAAAAATGTCCAATTCTGGAATAAAATCTTCTCGCTGGTAGGTGATATGCTGGCTGTACTAAAGAAACATCGGTCACTCAGATGTTACCCTGTATTCTCCTTGAATGAAGTCTGAACTCCTGCTATTCTTGTATACTTGTATATAATGTGTATACATGCTTGCTCGTTTTACCTTCGCACAATCTAGTCACGGTCTATCTAATATACGCTATTCTATTTCCAGGGAACAAGTTCCAGTCTAACCTCAACGAGATAGACAAATCTGAACAGAAGTCCGGTGACCTGGACAGAAAAAGGAAGTACAACTGGCCGCCGGAAAATGGTAAATTGACAGTTTTCCAGTAATATGTAGGTAAAATTTAATACGAGTCCGACGATAAGATTTATATAGTATACGAATATTTTGAGAGGATAGAAAACGCTGGGTGACCCTTTAAGACATTGTTACCAATGACGTATGTGCCCATGCTGTCTACTTTTTTTTCTCTACTCGACCACCATTCCACCTCGGGTTACGTGACAGAAAAACAGAGTCGCGTATCGTCGATACTTGCTAGACACTTTTGACTGATGTTATCGGATTATTTTGTTCAAGGCTCAAAGTGACCTGACCGTTATGTCCCTCGATCCTGCATGGCGCCCGGAGAACTTTTCATCGCGGATAAATCTCAAGTCACGTGTATCTGTGATCTTCAATTATTTTCTGCGTTGAAACGTCCACGTCGAAAGCGCTAACTTCCTGTCGTGACATTTTGCTATTAGTGATAAACCGGTCGCTGGTTAGAACTGCCAGTATTCGCTTCTTGATAACGTACAGGAAATACACGGCAACGCACTATAGCTGTGCGATAAATTCCGAGGAGCTAACGAAATATGTATAATGGCTGATGGAGAATATTATCAAACGAAACGTGCAATTCTGAAACCTTACAATTTTGCTTATTTAAATGAGCCCGAACATTACGTCATTGCCGGTATTAACGTTCCTCATTTCTTAAAAATTCCTCGAAGCCTCGGGCGACATTGCATACCTCTTCTCCCTCGTATTTTTTCAATGCCTCTGCACTTTCGCAATTCCTTAAAAATAATTTGCATAATGGCGGAATCTGCAAATCCGTATTTGCCAGAAACGTCTAACCATCCCAGTCAAGTCATACCTTGTGGCGGGCAGGTAATTTCTTCTTGGGTTACAAGAAGGGAAGACAAAAATAATGATAATAACGAGATACAAAAAGAGGTATAAGAAATAGCAAGAAAATAAAATCAAAGTAAAGAGAAAATGTAAAAGGGAACCTAGAGGATCGCGCAGCCCTTCGGCTTCTTTAGACTCGTCTCTGCCTTATTCTCCAAGGAGGTCGATTCGTCGTTTAATTTTCTTCCTGGCGCTTCGAACCGTTAACCTCGATCGCGTTATTTATTCTCTCACGGTGCACGACTCGCGTGAAAGGTAATGGATAAAGAGAGAGACAGATGGAGATAGAAAAAAAAGCCCTACAGAGAGAAATAGGCAACCCAAAGTCAAGAGCAAAAATAACAAAGGGGATTCTTGAGTGATTTATTTAATTTAGGAAAAAAAAAAAGTCATGTTCGATTACGCGCGTTGACCGCAAAGAATGCATGAAATTCAAAAGACCTACGGCAAAGGTTGGATGAAAATGATTGTGCTGGCTCTTGGGGTAAGACTGGATATAAAGTGAAAAGGAAGGAAGAAACGTATGGACAGCTAATGGAAGAAAAAGGTAAAGTAAAGTCAATGAAAGTAAAGAAGAAGAATAGAGAGAGAGAGAAGAAGGGGGGATGGCCGTACAGCGGCAATGGGGTCGCACGGTAAAGGGTGGCTGAAAACTGAGTGCGGAGGGAGAAGAAAGGAGGCTGAGGGGCAGAATGAGACAGGAATGGGATAACAGACCAGACAAAAGTAGCGAAGCGTGGAGCTCCCGAGGGACTAAAGGGAGAGTAAGGAGGGTAGTAGTATTCAGTGGGAAGGATAGAAAAGGAGGGTAGTTCGAGCGGGGGTGGCCGACTGGGTTGTTTCTGATTCGTAATTAGAGATGAGTGAGGGTAGGAAGAACGCGGAGAATACATTTCTCTCGAAGCGAGTAATGGCTAAAAGAAGGGAGGAGAGGGCTAACCGGAAGAGTAACTGGCTTCCTCCCAGTTTTCTCGCTGGATTCCATGAAGATAGCTGAAAGATTCTTCGCGGAGTCCAGAAGCGGCGTCAAGCTTGCGTTACGCGCGTCCATGTTCGTAATTCCGGTAGGAGAAGTTGTCTTAGTGGTCCATGAAGTTAGTTGCATCATCCTCCTCTCGAGTTATATCTCGCGAAGAAATATCTTACGTATGTCTGACTTTTTTCTTTCTTCTTCTATCTGTTCCAGACATGGCGGCGAGTATCACGACGACCATGGCGTTACTAGTGATGGGTTTGATCGCGGTAACGGCTATCCGATAAGCACCCTTGTTTAGCTATATCAAGTAACTCTTGTAATTACGAACTCGAAAAAAAAAGGAAACAAAAAGTTGAAATGATATGAAAACAAAACACATAAAGACTGACCGAATAGCTAGTGCCGTTTAAAAGTTTACGTCGTAATGCGTGCCAAGAGTCAAGTCGGGACGAAGTCGTACATATTTCGAAGACTGAAGTGCGTTCGGCAACTGGACGAAGCAGCATGTGCGAGCTGAATATCTTCCTGCAGGAAGACGTCGACAAGAGTACATCCGGATAAAGTGTGGAAGGGTCAAGATCTTTTATGAGCATGGGCAATGTCAGAAAGTGCAACGACTATCGCTTTCAGTGTAACATATTGTAAAATGTGTAATCTGTCTCCATATACTACTGCTACCCCTTAACCCCATCCTGACCGAAGCAGCCGTCTGCACTAGGATTAATATAATTTGCACGAGGAGTACTGCCCTTTTTATTCTACATACTGAACTGCACGCGATCACTGGATAAAGGTGTTCCTAGTGCATCTAAACGAATTGCTATCCAAGATATCGATAGTACACCTTAAGCGCATAACTTTGGATACTCCCTTATACTTATTTCCTTATGCTTTTCATCCGTGCTTCTCCCTCCTTTCTCTTTATACTACATCAACCCTCCCACAAGGGGTCTCCTATCGTTTCGTATTCCCGCTGATATTTTTTACCCATCGAATTCCCAATGTCCCACCCCTATAAAATCACAGACGCCATCTGAATACTTGAGATTAAAATGTCATTCGCTCATGGCCACACCCTTACACTGAATGGCGTAGATTAAAGAACGTAGACAGTGCTACAAACCTTAAAAGAAATAAAAGACCAAGTGACAGTGAAAAGTAATCATTTAAAAATCTAAGAAGCTCCCGTCGCCTGCGCAACGATTGCACTCACCTCTAATTACGTGACAAACTAGAGACGGCTAGTAGCGCGTTAGGATTTTCACGGTGCTCTCGATAATCCTTATATAAATCGCTAACTTATAAAAATACCAATTTATCCCGAACGAACGAGGGTCCATTCACATGGGCACAGGACTTGCCGTCCTATGAGAACTGATCTTCATTTAAAGAGCGGAGTGCCAATTACGTTACAGGAAGTGGCCACTTTTGTCGTTATCTTTTTCACCCTACCCCGATGGAATCCGTAGTCGTTCAAAGATCAAACTAGTTTTCTATGAAGCCACTTGGTTCCACGTTCGGCTGTGCATTTTCAATCCAACCCCCTTCGTCCCTTTACATCCTTATTCATCTTCCACACTTGTAGTTCCCAACGGAGTCCTTCTGACGTTCCTTATTCTGTCCCAGTATTGCCATCTACCCCCCTCCTTCCCCGTACCCCTTCTCGACGGCTTTATCAGAACCCAATGAATGGACCGAATAATTTGGTGATATCGTCACTTCCATAATTAAATTTCCGGACTTGAAGTCGTCACTAGTGTTACTAAAGAATGGCAGTGGTTATCGAAAGTAAAAGCACCAATACCGTCATGAATAGTCAAATAGTGCTGTTTACTTTTAAGCGACATTGTAAAGCGCGTCCATCATCGAATGGAGTCTTGACTGTTGGAAAATGAATAACTGCCGGAAAGAAAGATTAAATGGAAAAGAAGACACGGGAATAAGAAAGTGAGAGAATAAAAATGCTGTTAGATAATGTACTACTAATTACGTGTGCACGAGGTATAACAACCCTTTGCTAACATCATACATTATCGATATGGGTATCGGTACGGTATGGAGTCGTCGACTAACCAAGTACTCCTTGACATTCTCATTTTACTCAGGTATACAGCTCTAACTGCTCAAGTGAAAACGCGTTGAAATATTCGAAAGGTCAATTGGCGGCAATAAAGCGTTATCCAGCGTTACGCGACTGTCGACGAGGATCGCCAAGCTCTCCTGCAACTTTATGTATATCGAGACATGCGAAAATCAGAATAGATACAGAATACCATAGGTAACGTAAATCCTCGTTTATCGTTATATTTGTTTTTTGAAAAAAAAAAAAATTCAAATTTTCCAAAACCGCAAATAACCATTGCCCCAATATCAGCTGGACTCTTTTACGGCTGCTGCATAAAGCTGTCGTAAAGGTAGTGAAAATTCAAGACACGAATAATTCTATCTAAAGAACAGCTAACGCTGCACTGGACGTACGTTGACTGCAGGAATATCTATTATTCAACGAGGAACTTGTTTCAAGCAACAGGTACAGAACAGGCTCGGGACAATAAGGGTTAAGGGCTGCCACTGGATTAAGGAAGAGAAAATCGAGTTCAGGGCTTTACCAGAGTCTTACCTACCCAAGCGTTGGCGTCCCGCCCCTACAAGGACTCTCGAGTGTCCTTATCGTGCAGGAAATGCTGTCATTTCCCGAAGTTCACGAGCGTCGCCGGGCGTCGGTCCCAATAGCTTCGCTTGAACTTCCCTTTTCTCGTCGCCGCTGTCCCCATGCGATAACGCCTTTACGGCGAGCGACTTTGTCTCAATTATTTAGTAGACGCTAATTAATCGGGTTAATCGGTCGCCGTAGAGAACGCGGCAAATTCAAAAATGTATTCTTTTAATATTGACGCGCGTACGAACCTAATGACGTATAAAATACATTTAATGCTACGTCACAAGGCCTGTTATGGATTATTTGTTAATCGGTCGACTCCAATCGCCGTTTGGGTGTGGCTATATACATATATATTATTTGAGACTACTGACTTTTTATTTACATTGCGTCGTGTAGTGTATGTCACCAAAAAGTGTAGTGGATGTATTCTGATAAGGGAGGGGGTAACAGTTGGCGTGTGTAGCAAAGTCGGTGATAAGACGCCAGGAGCTAACCGGTGAAACGTATAAAAGTTTCCTTCAAGTTTTTCTCATCGAATTTTCCTTTTCGTTCTACGGCATGTCTGAGCTGAAATACTCATCAACGGCGGATCTGTACATACGAGTAAATAAGTATATACCATAGATTAAATCTAGCTTTAAAGCCTGAATGGGACGGCGGAGCTTCCCGAAGTGGTTCTCGTCTGTCCTCGGCGGAGCTTGCAAAAACTGAGGACAAGGGTAAACCTTAGGAAAGATATTTTGACCTTAGGCTAAACGAATTAAATATAAACTTGGCCGTCTAGTTATTAATGTAAGATGATTTAAAACAAAAAAAAAAGGTAATGAAATAATTATAAAGGTATATATGTATACATATATTAAAATTAAGAGGGATTATTGAATAATGATATCACTATATTGTATGTTATATGATATTATTATGCTTTGCGTCGTTGAGTTGAATGTTGTTATCTACCAGAACCAGACGAGAGATTCTTATAAGTACATACGACATGTAATAAAAAGAGGTGAGAAACAATATCTTGTGTCATGATTATTATTATTCTTTTTTTTTTCTTCGTCCTTTTTAATTCAGGACCACACCTGTCCCATAGTCCCATACTAAAATACCTTCTAATGCGTGACTTCGAATTGTAAATACTAATGTACTGGCTAATTCGAAATTCATAGCATCAAAATTAATCTCATTGAAATACCACTGGACGCCCGAGATGAGCTTATGGATAAGATCGATAAGCCATAACTTCTATATTTGGCTGCTGAACCCGTGAAATCAGGCTGCTGGATAGAAACACTCTCTCAAGTATAACTAATACGTTAACTAAGGGTTAACTGTAAAGAGCATCCTGTATATGGTATATGCTAATTAGTAAGCCACAAAGTGAGTTCGTATCTCTGATCGGATGATTAAAGTCTACAATAATGTTTGACTAGGCGAATAGATATACAGTTTAACAACAGAACTGGTTATTCCCAAAGTATATACGGTATAGATAGTGTAGAGTAAATCTCCCATCAACCGTTGTGCAATATTTCATCAAAATTGCGGGAACCTCTGATGTTGTAATAGCTAACCCTCTAGTTGCATACGAACCAAGGATTAACTGCATCCCTCTCAACCTGTACGTTGTTAGTCGACTAGGTATTACGTAAACTTCTCTTAATTAGGCGAGAGTGGTTGTCAATGAATCTGGCCCGTGACCACGGTTGTCATTTCGAGATTAGGCTAATCGTGCGGACGTCAATTCTGTTAATCGTCTGTGGATAAGGTAAATCCATATATATTATAATTAATACACAATACAGGTATAAATATTATATATTTTTTTTAATCGCGTTATAATAATTTTATTATACAATTAACTGATTTTCATATCATTGATTATATTGCTGGTTTTAATCGCTCGGAATAGGATGCTATACGATTGTCTATTAGGAGATGAGACGATAGATGAAATTATGTAATGAAAAGTAGAGCACGTAATTCATACGTGATTCGTATCTATTTTTCTAAATATTTCAAAATTTTTTTCTACAGCCGTAACTTTATGATAAATCAATAAATTAAAATATGCAAAAAGGCATTTTATTAAATTCTTTACCAAGAGCGCGAAGATACTGAAAATTTTCTAATTTGCAATTTTTATCAGATTCTTTAATAAGAAAATTCCTGTCATTGTTAACTAAAAAAAAAAGTATAGCAAAAAATATTTAATGAAAACGTTTATGGAACTGTCAAATTTGAATGTTACACAAGATCCGCACAGTTCGGTGAAGTATATACAGTTGTATTTCATTCTACGATTATTATTTTCTAGAGCAAGACAATGAAACCAGGAAAAGATGATCCCTGCCATTGTGCCATAGTTCACCAATTATCAGACTCTCGTATTGTGCGGAGCCGTCGAACCCTCGACGAACGGCTAATGAAAAGTCGACGAACCGTGTAGCGGCCCAGTTTTGATTAGCCCTGCAATTCCAGCGATAACGCACAACGAAAAAAAAAAGAATGAAAAAAGAAAGCCAAGCAAATTTAATGCATTGCCAAGTAATGCGGTGCAATAATTCGTAGCAAGATCAATATACACATACAACAAGAGAAACAAATAAAGGAAAGATACACCAATAAAAAAAAATTGTAATGTCCCCATTCAAGACCATATAGAAAATATCTATCTACGTTAACGGTCGTCCTGATAGTTTGAGAGAAAGAGATTTTTATCACCAAGGTATCGTAATCCTCTGACATACTTTATAAATGTCGTACCTCTATAACTACATATTCAATTTTCCATGCGCAACCACGGAAATGTACATCTAACTACGTACACGTGTTCATATATGTAAGCACACGTATATGCCTATATATACTAACCACATAGTGCAAGAAGAAAGTTATACTCTTATATATCCACAGAAGTACGTTATGTATTTACGATCACCGTCCCAGCAAGCACCGCGGCGATTTTAAAGTTTCACCCTACTCCTTTCAGCGCCGCCAAAACGACGCGACACGGTTCTTTCAAACTGGCATTATACTCAGTTCCGAACTGACCACGTTTCCGGATGAAATGTCGAGGCTTCGTAGAATATTCTCCTGCGGCATCCATAACGTGTGTATTCGCTGACTCGTCGAAATTTCACGACTACGTAATTTTTTGTTTTCACAAAAGAAAATTATTCCGATCAAATAAAAAGGGATCGTTTCATTTTAAACAGACCCAAAAGCACGAAGGTAACAACGTATCGTTCCACGCGGAACCCAGGTTACTTTTTATTCTATAAGCGTGGAAACAGTCGAGTTCAAGAAGGTTACATAAATTCATAATGAGCCACGTTGCAAGGGGTAGGCATTGTGGCAGATTACGAATTAAATTTACCTTCCTACAGTCCTGTACTGTATAGTTCATTCACTAGTAGCAACACTTACCACACCAGCAGCACCGTCGCTACTCGGTGGTTCCCTTTACTTTATAATATGGTCCATAGCCGGCAGCCGACTACCACCAGTTTCGCTCCAACATTGAGCCATGTCCCAAGGGACCCTTTGAAAACTGCCCCTTACAAGTACCATTAAGTGTACGTACAGTGGTTATTCGCATTATTAGACGGCAGATATTCTTAAGAATTTATTATGCCACTTATAGATACAGTTATAATGTACCCTCGTAGTATAAGGAATATCGTGATTATATTTTCAACGGAATACAGATTCGTTATCTTGAACGCGTTCAGCGTCCCTTGAACGTGGGGTGGTACTTCATGCAAACACGTCAAAAGGATCGGCCACTTTTCATAAGTAACTTGAAATAACTCGAGCTAGATGCATCTTCGTGGAATAACAAGCTGGCAAATATGTGTGTATATTATATATCTATTATGTATCTATGCATAGTCAAGTCGGACACCTGGAATTAATCAGAATGGAATTTAAGTGAATATTATGAAGCAGAGACGAATACAAAACAATTGATATAGGATACCGTGCGACAGTGCATTACTGTTTCAGCTGCGTTTCTATTATGATTGTGAAATCCAGGATATTTCGACGGTTTTGCTCTAATATATGCGAGAATGCAACTTTGATATTCACTAGGTAATATCTAATCAGAATTTCAACCATGTTAAAACGCCATATCGAACATGTTTATTCCATTGATTGATAACGGAGCGTGAATGCTGTTATGTAAGAAATTATTAACTAACGTGAAATTCATTGCTATAATTATTTTTTTTTTTTCTTAAATCAACGTATTGATTTAAAATGTAAATTAACTTGCAGCTCGTGGACTCTAATGAATTTCCTATAGCAAGAACTACACCAATACCATTTATAAAGAGAATCGAGAAGTTAAATACTGTAAATCCTTATCAAATCAAAACGAAAGAATCCCCCACTGACACTCGAGATTATTAATGCAAATGTAAATCCTTTTCCATTAGAAGTTTACTTTGCACGTAGTTACACACGGTCCCTAGCCCCCAGGTACTTTCAGTGCAATTTTGTAGAAATCCAGAACTGCCAATTATTTGTATAACTAGCAAAATCAAATTATTACAGCATAGGTACTGCGGATTCTTTCCGTTATGATTCTTCAGTACAGTTTCACGTGTATTAAGCATTATGTAAGTTAAGTGAAATGAAAAAATATTTTCGAAAAGTCCCGCTCGTACACCACTTTCATCAGTCTGGCCAAAACAGCAAAAACAATCAAACATTTTCAGTCTTCTCGTGTCTTCAAACGGCAAAGCGGACAAGCAGTCACGAAAGAAATTTATGTGAGCATACAAGTTTACTTAGTAGCAGCGGAGAAGGTGCACATCTTTACAGGAGGTCTTACCCAGTAAGTGCATGCATTTCCAGTACGCCAAAGTTTCCTCAGAAACTTGGGTCTGGTGTAATCCGCGAAAGTGGTTCTTTAGCATACCGCGTGCTCCTAGCAACACATGCGTGTACCAACCAACTCAACGTGGAGTACCCAAAACAATAAAATTTTTTTTACTATACAACGATTATCATAATTTCATTTTATCCCTTCGTATCACAATTGTCCATTCCTCCTAACGCCTAGTCTAATAATACAATTAACAGGGATTTTTTACCACTCTATGTAACATATACTTAACCGGTTCTACGAGTGTATGAGCTAAGATGGACGTTTGCCGTGAAACGGTGTACGATTTTGAAAATCTGATGTGACACCTATTGAATATTTTTTTATTGGGCATCGATTGCGCATATTATTATTATTGTTCGTTTAATTTCCGTTGGCAATTAGAAAATTATCTTTGCCATTTCAAATGATATCGAAAAAAGTTAAATGCAAAAGTTACGGAGCAAGCAAAAAGAGTAGAGATGAAAAAAAGTTCACACGAATAACGCACATAATAAGGGATATTTTTACGTTTGAAATTTGGTAACTTTTTGACAGATTTCCAATACAGGCAAAACGCCTTAGCTTCGTACAGTAGCTTCACGCTGCACATGCGATTCGCAATTGTCTTGAAGTACGCGTTCAGTCAAATGCAAAGTCGTACAGGGCGGCTAAAACGTACTGTAAAGCTATTTTTCTATCTCAAGTTAAAAGTCTATATATTACATGTGTTTCTCGCCATAGATTTTGAAGTCTACGGGAGCTTTTGGGATTTGGAGTGTTCCTGATCATAGCCTTTACAGCCTATCGCGCTCCTGGTCGCAGAATTTGCATCCTTTGCGACGTTGGTAACGCTTTCCGCCCTTAGCGAAATTTTTGCGAATTCCATACCCTCTAGCGAAATTGTCAATTCGAGATATGCATTTTCCTGAGAAGCAGTTTTGTTAGTTACAGAAAACTAAGTCGATAAATTATCGCTTAAAATTGCATTTTCATGGGGGAGCATTTTTTTTAGTTTCGGAAAACTCCACCAGATGTCGCTGCTAAGCACCTGCAATAGTTCCGGATAATTTCGCTAGAGTACGGCCGCGACCAGTAACACTCCAAATTCCAAAGACTCCTGTGAACTCCAAAATCCATAGCGAAGAACACATAGAATCCAAAATGGAACATGTAGACTCGCAACTTGAGATACAAAAACTAGTATCGTAATATGTTTTAGTCGCCCTGTACAGATTTCCACCTGGCTGAACGCGTATTTCAAACAATTGCAAATCGCACGTTGGGCCTGACGCTGCTGCACGAAGCTAAGATGTTCCGGCAGTATCGAAAATTTGTCAAAAAGTTACCAAATTTCAAACGCACATCCCTTATTATGTGTGCTTTTAGTCTAATCTTTTTTCACTTCTATTCCTTTTTCCTTCTCCATAACCATGCATTTAACTTTTTTCGATATCATTTAAAAATGGCAAAGATAGTTCTTTATATTTGCGAACGGAAAGAACAATAATAATATGCGCAATCGATACCTAATCAAAAAGTATTCAATGATTGTCACACGAGATTTTAAAAATCATCCACCGTATCGCCGCGAACCGCAAACGTGCATCTTAGCTAATAAATTCCATACTTTCATGACCCTGTAACAATATTATCTTGGTTCCTTAATACATCTGACCTATGAAAATGTCTAAGAACACTAGTGCTTTCTAATCGGTTTCACCTAGCAGCTGAATGTGTACACTGGACTTTGAGTTTAGGGATTTCAAGAAGGAAGACAGAGTAAGAGCAGGCCTAGGATCTAAGTTAAGTCCGTCGAGTATGTCCATAGCCGTGTCTTATCAGAGGGACACGGTTTTGATCCCCCGCCTACCGTGCCGTGGCATAACAATTACCCTATTATTCGCACACCCCGTGGGCACTTACGGACCTACCCCAGCAGGACCCATTCTATAATCGCTATGATACCCCTGCAAGATTATTGCCTGTCGTAGCTATACGACGTAGATACGGTGTGTGTGCGTAATGATTTACAAAGACGTACCATCTTTTTTTGAGCTCATCCCTCGGGATGGCGAAGAACAAAAACATTAAAGGAAACTTGTGCAAGGACGCAGAGACAAAGAGTGAGGTACAGGACAGACGTCACGGGAACTGAAAGTGCCGCACCTGTAATTAGAAGGAGTTTGTCCAAACGGGAGTTTAATTCGGCAGAATTAGTTAGGAAAGTCTTAAGGAAACTCATGGCGAATCTTCCTCGGGTCTGTTTGCTTGCTTGTCCACGAAGCTGGGAACAAGAAAAAATCATTAAATTCACAGAAGTATCGGCTTTGCTACTGAAGTCTCCAGTCAAGCCTTCTTTCTTGATGGTGCATTCGTTGCCCGTATATTCTCATATTTTATTCTCTCTTCCCGTGGCAAGTTTAGATACGCGTACGCTCTATTGATTCTACTGATTGCACACGTGAGGATACGTAACACGAGTTGCACATCTTGGAATCTGAGGGTGGAGAATGTTGTACGTCGAAAAAGATACTGGGAGAAATTTTAAAGAATGGAACGACTATACTTCCCATACTGTTCAACGGCGTGTTTACTCGTAATACACGCTACATGCTATTCCTTGTGGTTCATCGGTGACTGAAGCGAAAACATTGATTTTTTTTAGTTGTATTCTGTATATGCGCTGCTAAAGGAAATGGTGGAGCATAGACGATCATCAGGAACTGAAAGTATTCATGATTCTTGTATTCCTCTTATCTTGTTGAACTCAAAAAATGCTGAACTTCTAGCCTTTTGTTATCGCAGAACAAATTGCCTGTAAACACTATGAACAATATGAAATTAATAATGATTAACCACTATTCATAAAGTTTTCATTAAGTTCGCTCTTGGCTTTTGAGCCATGAGTAATTAGTGCAGAACTATCATTTACATTTTAAGATTTTGTTTCAACTTGGACGAACCCGACCGCTGAGGTATATATGTATACATATATATGGTACGATATTTCAATTTATATTATATAGATATACATTATAAATTGAAATTCTCTACTCATCTGAGCGCTGTGAAAGTTAACAAGAGTATAACTTTTCACTAGAGTCACTAGCTTCAGTCAATGTCGTATCTGCTGCTAACGTAAGTAATGTCAAACTGAGAAATTTCAATTTTGCCAAATAATTCTCGTAGAGCGTGAAAGGTTTTCTAGCTTTCGAGAATTGTCACGAGCCATGTGGTCTAAACGTGCATTTACGAGGGACTCTGCAAAATGCACGTCATACACTCTGCCATATCGTTCATAGTTTTATACGACCGCTCGTAAAGTTGTAACAGCGGTACGACTACTACTGAAAACACTAATCAACAATATACTAATACAAACGTCGATTTTGCTGCACGCTAATACGTTTTAGATAATAACGCACGAAATAAAGTCTTGGTACGCCTGTCTCTTACTTTTTGCGTTAAAGGACAATGACGGATAATAAAAGATTATTATATTTTTCAAAAAGGATGAAAACAAATATCATATAATTAATATCTTTTTACAATAGATTTAATCCGGTGGGACGACATTTATCAGTGGCATCGATATACTGAATACGTCTGCTATGTGATATAGATATATGACGTACATATACATATGTTATTCGAGAATGTATGTACAGTCATATTCAATAAAAAGCTCGTCATTCTTCATTAGGCGTCGCCACATTCGGCATCTCACACCGCGCCGATGGTCGAGAAGGTATTTCCAGAATGATAATTAAATTTGGTCTCCACGAAAAGCAGGAAAATTATTGTCCCGTGACGATGAACGGTTCGAGTCAACGGCTATGCCGTCGGGCTAGTCGATAAATGTCCAAAGTGCCGGTGTCCGCGAGAGTACGCGAGTTCCGTGAATATAAATTTAGCACACCCTGTACCATCTGTATTCAGGAGAGTCCTTTCGTCTCGTGAACTTAGCCAAAGGATGGCCGACCGAGACCGGGATAAATAAAATCACGACGCGATTTGTCCAGATTCGATTCGCGACTCGTGAACACGAAGGTGACGTTATGAGAGTCGAGACTATTTTTCATTCCTGACGTATCGCCAAGAACTTCATTAGTTCACCGTATAATCGAGGTTATCGAAGATCTTGCATTTCCGTTTGACAATATATGAAGTTAATATAGACACAGACTTTATGTGCTTTAAGGTTGGTAGAAAAGTAAGACATGTTGTAGCTGAGCAAAAAGTGCCTAGTGAAAAAAAGACGGGAAGGAAGTAGAGGTGCATTAATTAGTGAATGGATAATTAAGGTATATCGTTTGATGTTAGGTTAGGTTAAGCTTAAGAAAAAGTTAATATTATAAATCGAAGATTGGATGAGTAAAATTGAATAAAGCATAACTTACGCGATATCACTGTATTGTATTAGAAACTCGTAGATAATCTTGATGAATTAACTCTTGTGACTGTACTGTGTGGTTCATGGAATTCATGGGTTGCGAGTTATGCCGCATTCGGTGGTATGTACTAATTAGCAACATTGCTGCCGGTCTTACCCATCCTCCAGTAGCGCCAACTCGCTCCCACTCGGTAGCCTGGACCAAATGCACAATTCATCCGAAGTAATCAGCTGAGACTGCGATTATTATTTTGTTAATTATTACAAATCTTTCAGTGCCGTATGGCGCGGACTCTAACTACCAGTAGTAAAACATGGATGCCCGAGGTAGCATGAGAGGGAAAAGCACGGGAAACTTTTACCCGCTTGACTTTGCTAAGTTTAATAAAGTCTTTGGCATCTGTAGCTAAATTATCACTGAAGTTAGCTATTTTGGTTGTCGCAAAAACCAACTTGCCGCAAGACAAGTCAGGACGAAGCTCGCCAGACTTCAATAGTAAGTCTTGGGTGGAGTAATAATAAAGTGGTGTGTGTTCCTACAGCTAGAATTAGATAGATGAAAGTTCAAAATGGTCGATCGAGCAAAGTCGACTCTTTAATAGTTCTTTTCTTCTCGTTACTTTTAATGAACCCGAGTAAAGCCGATTACGCAGGAACACAAAGAGAAATTGCGAAGTTATGAGAAAAAGAAATTCAAAAGACTGTCTGTGACGTACACGCTTTTCAACTTAAACGTAGGAATTGAAATTTCTACTAGGTAAGCACATAGTGGTGATATATTAGGGAATTTTAATGAATAATTATCTACGTTAGAATTTTCCTGAAAACTTATTGTTATTATCGAAATGCATTTCACCTGAAATAAACAGGTTTTTTAATATTAAAATTTTAAACGAAATGCTGAACTGTTGCTCGAACTCTGCAATTCTGTAAAGTTGCAGGAAGCATTACAACTGTATTAAGTTACATTTGTGATGCATTTAAAAAAGGGAATCATTAGCGTTAATACTTAAGTCACAATTAAAAGAGGACTTCAAAGGAATTCATTCCGTAATTCATGTAATCTAAGTCAGAAGAATTCAGATTACTTTCCATCGAACACGTGCGCGCTGATAATAAGCGCTTGCGCCTTGCGCAATGAGTTGAGGCTAAAAATAATAGCAGCTTGTCAATAGAATAGTCTCAGCAATAAATTATAAGATCATCGTTTCCTTAAAGACGCGTAGGTCAAGTAAGGTCATCTTATTAGTCTTGCGTATTTACGGATTTTTAATTTAATCATAATTGGTCCATTAGTTCATATGAAATGGTTGAATTTCTGCCTAATATTCCACACGTTATTATTCATCTGTTTATAGTTCTTCTGTCTTTTAGCTGTCTTCTACCAGACGTAAAGTCAGAAAGTGAAAAGGTGGAGACCATGTCACAAAGAACAAACTCACTGGATTTGATACAGGGACTTCAAGACATTGAGACTCCACATGGTGTTCATCTTGCTGGGATATATAAACGGTAAGACTCTCTTGTAACCTATAGATCTGAAGTTTGTCTTTATTGCTTGAAGTTATTAAAAGTGACATTTTTTTGATGCAGGAGCTTTGCTTTTGTGACCATAAGAGATAGATTGCCAGTCATCTTAACAAAAATTGTTGATACTTTAAGTCGTGAGAAAGATGAAATTATTAAACAATATGGACAGGTGAATGTATATTTCTCACTACTCCAAATAAAGTATATCCATGTGATTGCACATAAATTTGAGTATACATTATATTTAGCGAAAATGTGTGGATAGTACTGCGATCAGTCTGTATAATCCCTGTTATATATATTTTGTTAAATACCTGCAGGAATCAGCAGAGGAAGTAAAACACATTATAGGACGTATTAGTAAATTGAAAAATGAAGTAGTTACCAATAAACCACTACAGCGACTTCCTTCAGTTGATATTGACGATGATAAAAATGTATGGAATGAGTACCTTGATGAACGTACTAGAATAGAAGGAGAAATACCATGTTGGTTTAACACACATTGGTTATATTGTGAATGTTATCTATATCGTAGGCTGGCACAAGAATTTGCACTCACGTAAGGTTCAAATCATATTATAGATAAACCAGTACCTTAAAACAATGAATATAATAAATGAAATCATATTTATAATTTCAGGAAAACCTTAAAAAACTATGACCCTTTTAGAAAACAAAAGCAAGATAGTTTTACTGGATCGATCGGTAGTATTATTGCCCTTAGCCACTATACGATGGATCTTATTAATAGAACAGAAAATGTATCATCTGCTGAACGGAAACATGAATTTATTAAATTAATAAAAGTTGATCTTTGGGGAAACAGGTAACTTTTTTGTAAATGAGACAACATATTTCACTTTATGCCATCATCTGAAAAAATATATGAAATTTTAACTGGTACTATATTTTACTTACAGATGTGACTTATCTCTTAGCGCTGGCGCTGAAAGCAATCAATCTGGGAATCCAATCTCACTCTTAGAATCTTTAGAAAAAGACATTCTTGTGGATGAATCGAAATATATTTGGGATCTTCTAAGTAAGACTGACAAACAAAATAACTCTCTCATTGTTGATATAATACTAGACAATGCAGGATATGAACTATTTACCGATTTATGTTTGGCTGCATTTATGGTAACTCATGGTCTAACGCAAAAAGTTCGTTTTTACGTTAAATCTAGGCCATGGTACGTGAGTGACACCACTGTCAATGATTTCCATTGGCTAGTGGAGCAAATGAAAACATCATCAAATCCTGATTTATCAGCCTTGGGTGAAATATGCGCCAATCATGTGCAAAATAATATTTTCACCATAGAGGTATTTCTTCATACTTCTAATTTAATCACTGAGCTAACTATATTATACTAAATTCACTAATTCTAATGTAATTGATGACGTTACAGGAAGAATTATTTTGGACTGAACCATATGACTATGCACAAATGAAGAGTCGCGATCCAATATTATACGCCAAACTCTCTGAAGCCACATTGGCCATATTTAAAGGCGATCTGAATTACAGAAAACTGACTGGTGATATCAATTTCGAATATACAACCAGTTTTCTAGAGTCATTGCGAGGTTTTACACCAACTAATTTGCTCAGCTTAAGAACTATAAAATCCGATGTTTGCGTCGGTCTGCCACCAGGTAAAGCAGAAGCAATTCGCGCAAAAGATGAAAACTGGCTGATCACTGGTCAATATGGCCTTATACAAGCCACCATCAATAGTGGGTGTCCATGCATACAAAGAACATGTTAAATCACATAAGAGAAATTCATAATAATAAAATGTTATTTGAAAAATAATTAATCATTGCTGTGGCGAAACAGCAGAGTTCAGAAAAGATTTAATTTTCTGATTGCACGTTCTCCCCTTTTGCATATATTTACTTTTATAACTTTTCCAAATATTCAATTTCCATATTTTGAAATGTACATAACATTCTCTAGAAAAAATACTTTTTTTTGTACTAAACCTTATACGTGCGGTGCAAGACAAATTACATAACCGCTGAGAGACACAAGAAATTAATATTTGGAAAATAAATGTATAATTAAATCAAATCACAATATTATTACAAGTCAGCAAAAGCACATGTATCTGCTAATGTAAAACATGTCACCTTATCGTATATTTAGTAAAAGAACAAGAAACAGACAGCCATAACGTAGAAAAAGTAATCTAATGTAAGCAACATATAATGTATTATTCTTAACAATATATCACGATCTTCCGAATAGTTAAATAATCGTCACTGAATGCACCTAACTCGTTCTCAATATTTTGTCAAATATACCAAGTCAATACTGCGCAAGTCTATACAAACGTCTCAATTATTTCCACAAAGACAAATTCCCAATGGCTCCCAAACAATTGTGTACTATTTGAAGTAATATTTATTTCATTACACTTATTAGTAATACATTATTTAATAATAAGGGTAATAAGTAACCGTTATTCGTAAATACATGATAACATCCTTCTGTCCTACAATCGTTTGTACAATTATTCATTATAATTTATATGAAATGGGAAAAAATATTTAATTTAAAATGAACTCTATCCCTTTGTCATTCTCTCAAAACCACCTAAATAGCAATCATTATACATCCTTAATTTGATTACACTAATACTTTTAGTTTACAATAGATAATTATTTATTAACTTAAATCATCGCTTAGCATGCCTTTATACACTATTCATCAATTCATGCAATTATATCCTAGTACGCCATATGTTGACCCAATTAAGAGGTCACAAAAGACAAAGGAATTCTGTCACAGGAAACACCATTATCTCCTGGGTGTTATCACAATATGGAAGGGCCGATGGTGCAACATAAGTACAAGTGTGCACAAAAATGAGAACAGGTGTAATGATATTCATGCTACTTAATTGTAGGACAAAATAACAAAGATTTTAAGTATATTTCTATTGGTCATACTTAGTATAAAATAACCGTAAAATTTCTAATATTCAATCTTCAATGGCATAGATATATTAGAAAATTAACATGTAGTGTATACCAAGTAAGATCAATTAAAACATACATTCAAATGTTCTATTGATGTCCCTCACTAATCGACGTTCCCTCTCTAATGATTTTATGGTCCCAAAATGCATATGCGCACCAGGAATAAATCTGATATCGACACCATTCGTATTGTCAATAACACTTTCCACCTATTTCAACTTTACACAATTCAATTTGAACTTACTTCCATTCCATTATACATTGTAGGAAACTTGAATACCCCATTGAATACTGGATCAGCCCTTCAATATTATTTTACGCATTGCCCAATGCTCATGCGAAAAAAAATAATGAGCACGTTGTTGCTTGAGCAATAGCGATAGAGAACTCTGGGAAATATATATACAGGTAATGACAAAGTAAACGAGCTCAAAGAGGGATGATAAGAGGTGTGTCCTAAACCGTTCAGCAAATTACTTAGAAGTTCTATGAATAATCGACCAGATAACCGCCAATGTAATTAGATGTTCTAGGATGTTTCTGAATTTACAAACCCATGACGCTAGATCTGAGTGTACATATCAATTGGACCATACGAATTCGTTGGCCCTATACCGTCAAGTAAAATGAAATTTCAATTAAATATCCTCAGCGAAATACTTTACACCTCGTCAATTACGGCATGGCATTACGAACGCACCGGTATTCTCATTTTTCACACACTTTGTGGTAAAAGGGATGTCTGACACATTTCGTAAGTGTTTACCAAGCTAGTTTATTTAACCCTAAGGGTACGTGGCAGAGCCATTTAGCTAAATTGCACAACACACCTTGTTGAAAATTGTTGACAATACGTTTTCAAACATCAGTAACAAAGCTATTTTAATTTTACAAACAATGATCATTCGAAAATGTACTATCTGAATGATGTTAGTTATGTTTGTGATTGTGTCTCATGGTCAAGAAAGAAATCAGTTTGTTACTGAAGTACAAAAGATTATGAAGCTGTAGATTTAAGTTTTTTTTGCATAATACACAGCCCTGCGTGATCACAGCACCGACTAATACGGATATTTGAAAGTTCGGGAAGTGATCAAGTGGCAGTAGGATACTTGTATATTACCAATAGAAAAAAAAACGTAATTGATACAAATGGCACTGCAGATATAGACCCTACATCCTTAATGTCTTAAACAGTATATATATTTATTTGTTCAATGCTTTTATTTTACGATACTGTAACAGGACAATGTTGTCATGAAAATAGAATGCATCTTGTAATAATTCATTTACCGTCGTGTATTTGACCAGCAAATATTGAAGTAGGCAAATTTCAGAATTCGGTACGTTTATGTTTAACGAACAATAATTATGTTGTAAGTAATAACATTAATCAACTTATATTTATGTAGGATTTGTTGCTATATGAGTTGTGCTATATGAGTTCTTTACAACGTGCAAGTACGTGGGTAAAATTATTCAGCTTCGTGATGCGTTTTAACTAAAATTATAAAATATCAATGAAATGATACACGTCACTCCACTACATTGGTGAATGCTGTGATTTTACTAATGGAGAATCAACTAAAGTAGTAGGTTTTCAAATGTTGATGTTCACTTGAACTTAAATGATCATAAATTATTTTCATTTTTATATGCGCTACCAGAATCGAATAAAGAACGTATAAAGAATTACAACCTTTATCCACTTTGCACCGCTGAACTGAACAGATTTTTACGATTCCTTTTAACAGAACGAAATAGCAACGACACTGGAAAACATTATTATTTGACGTATTGCAACTTGATAAACTTTTGGTACCATACTGCCACTTTACGGTGCCACAGGCTGGCCGACTAGGTCAAGTTAATTTCTCATAGCGCAAAAGGTCGCATGCTGAAATAAGTGTAACTCCGAAAGTTGGTGTAGTTAAAGAATCGCCAAGAGTGTGGCGCAGATTGGAGTTATGGATACTAATAAGGTATGGGACAAAACGTAATGTCTATAGACAGTCTTCTTGTAAAATTGGCATCGCATCACAAGCACGCTTGATCTATTCACTCGCGCTTTTAAACGCGTTATATACTTCTGATGTATCATCCTCTTTTTTATTATTTATGGACAGTTCTGATATCGATAAAACATTTTAAATAATAACAATGCAACCCGCTTACATTCGAAAAAACACTAAACCGCTCACACTGTTCACTACAGGTTACTTGGAGTTTCCTGTACGAATGCATTGACGGCCGTTTTTTCCGCGGACATACAAAAAATGATAATCCCACTTTTCACGACAGTATCCAGTACTCGTTCCTTATACTCCTAGATTATGAAAGGGATGTTACTTGGTGAATGCTGCAAATACGGCCCAGAGAACGGGATTAGCATTACGTTTCGCAGCTTCTGCCTCGAAATCAAGCTCCAAGAGAGTTCTCACTCGTCGCATCGCAACTTCATAATCGTCGTCGCATAAAGGTGCAAATGCATTTTCCAGGACGTCAGCGGCATGAGCTAGAATCACTAATGCCAAGGTTCGTCGATCCATACGTCCGGCATCGTTTACCCAACGACCAAGAACAGCTTCTTGAATCTGAAAAGCGACACGTATATGGAGTATAAAAGAATTTGCGACGACAATTCAACCAAAAGTTATTGCATTCGTTACGGTTTCTGGACTAAGTTTTAATAATTTGATGACAAATCATGTGATTACTTCATTCTCTATAATGATATTATCTCACGTTTATTAATACTGACTGTAATCAATACTAATAAAACGCACACATGCGACTAGATGCAATATTTTACCTCCATTGAACATAATGCTTACAAAATTTTATAACTTTGATTATACGAAATATTTTTAACACTGCTATCTAATGTACATAAAGTATGTTTAACAACCTTTTTAACTAGGCGCGTCTTAGCCAGGTTGTCCGTAAGTGGATGGGTTGTCATATCAAACAATAGGAAATTTTGTTTCTCGGTCGTCAGCACACCCTTTTCAACTAGATTTTTTGCTAATCTTTCTCTAACATTTTTCAGCTGATATCGCAGTTTTAATGGATTCCACGTTTCACCTTTAAAAGTTAAAATCAGGATTTAACTAGATGTTCTGTGAAAAAAAGAGTCACATTTTTCTCATATATTTTTCTACCAACCACTGAGATATTCGATCCAACTTTGAACTGTTTCTGGAGGATCAGTCTCTTTGATGTGTTTCAAAGCTTCATCTAGCAATACATCACCCGTGGGTGCATTATTTTTTAGTAAAAGCTTTCGGGCCAATAATCCTCTTTTACGCATTCCTGCCTTTTCCAGTTCTACTCGGCCACGGAGACCTAATTCAGCCAGAATGCATCCACGCAGCCCTGAACTTATACAGTCATTCCAGAATGATGTGTAACCCTGAAAATAGATATTGTTATAACATATACATATACTAAATCAATGCAACTCCACTGATCATAACCTACAAAGAAGAAAGTACACAAAATTTATAAGTGAACCTGATTAATGTTATGCACAAACGTACTTTCTAACATCTATGCAGTCTATTGCATAACAAATCCCATTAAACTCATGAAAGAGACATGTTAATACCATTTCCTTTTCACAGCATCATACTATTCACTAAAACTAAAATACTTGAAAATCTTTTCCTTACATCATGCTGAATAAAAGTATCATCTTACTTTAGAGAGAACATGAATTACTTAGTGCTTAAGATTAGTCAATACAGTGCGAAACTGAAATCACTATGATTTATTAATACTTTAGTTCAAAACTAAAATGTTAGAAAGAAGGTACAAATATAATAAAATATTGTGATATCATTCAGAATTACCAGTCTAATTATATGATAAAAGATTATTAGTATATATATATATAAATTGAAACTGACAAGCACAATTAATTGGCGTAATAACATTCATATAAATAAATTAAATGATCAGTATCTGTTAAAAATATACAATACATTTAGTATTTTGTACTAATAAATGCACAATATATATATTTAAGAATAATAATATTGTGGTTAATAATGCAATGTTGTAAATCATGTAAGTACAAAAATAAAATTTGGGCAACAGAAATACATTAATTATATATAGATAGATTTTCAGCAAAATAAAATACATTGCATATAAACTGCACACCAGCATGGTACATATACCTTGTATAAACTGTACAGCAGCGAGTCATAAAGAGTCGAGCAGTACCTATTTCAAAGAGTATAAACATCAACCTTTTTAGAAAAATTAAGAGAGAAGAAGCAAAATTAAAAACCACAGTAACTTATTTAAAAGCATCATATACGTTATACAAATAATGAAAAAGAAAATAATTCATTTCAAGTGTTAATATCACGTGGCAATTAAGAACATATGTATATAAATATGACGTTGTGTGTTCTTATCACATACATCAAAATACTTTGCTACGATGCCAGCTCATCAAAGGATACCACGCTTTCACGGAAGCATCATGCGGTAATAAAAACATGGTTAATAATATCCGTACAAACCTCCTTATCCTTGAGTCCTAATAAAAGAACCTCTTCCATAAGCGTAAGTCGAGTCTCCTTATCAGAGTCCTCGTCAACTGTAGGATTTGAATTGAGATCCTTCTGGGAGGAACTATCAGAATCTGCTCCATGGCCAGAAAGTTTGTCTGAATTTGCAGATGCCTGTTCAGGCGAGTCGTCTTGGCCAAGTCCACTAGCACTGCCGCTATTAACCACTCTGCGCCGTTGTACCAGACCGTCTGTACGATTCATTGTCAAATCCGTCTCGTCGAAATCGTGCACACGTTTCAAAACGCCACAGTGTCACACCCCAATAACGTAAATTGGCACAAAATTAATAAGAGCTCACGGCATGTATCGTATAATAAACACTATTATGTTGACGTTTGCTCCGACACAACATATCTTCGCAAGATGGCCAGCTCACTCCCAGCAATCACTTTTTTTTTGTTCCGCCACAACCAACCGATGCGGCTGGTACTGGTACTCGTCCTGCTCTTCACTACAATTTACTGCAGTTACTACTGGTTTTATCGCTCTTCACTGCTCTTCACATTCAACCCACGAGACCAGAGTGACCTGCCAGTAATTCGTTGCTTCGGCGACGTAGCAAACCTTTTAACAAGTTTCTCGTATATCACGTCGGTATGTACGATACATATTTCCGCGGCCGCCTCAACCACGGTAGGCCTGCGGATAGAAAAGATCATAGAACATGTAACACTAACAGAAAGGATACTTCACGGAAGTTTGAGCCAAGCTTTGCCGGTAAAATACCGATGGTTCTCAGTACAATTTGCAAGTCTCATGATCGTTAATCATTTTAAGTGAAGAAGGTGCCATACCATTAATTCTTCTATTTTCTTAATTGACTGTACCACGCAACCATTTCGTTCTTACAAATTCAATCAGTCCGACGCTGCCTTTAAAAATGTGTGTGGATTTAAAACCAACATTTACGTGATTAGTGCTACTTCTAAGGGTTAAGCTAAGGAAAACTACAATATGATGTGAAATAATGATAGGAAGAATCTGCTACGTGGGAGAGTTGAGCGATAACCACCTTTTGTTTCGTCTGTTCCTCTATTTCTTTATGTCACTATTGTTAAAGGTATTATAACAAATTGCACCGAGTTACAAGCTCGCCATTGTTCGTGCTAGTTGACTCACTGTTTCTATAATGTTTTGACTGCATATGATCTGACGTTAGACGGAACTTTGATCAATTTATATATTATTATATCCACGCTAAGCACATTTAAACGTAATATTGAATAAGTACATACCTGTCTACATATATATACAGTGTGAAGCATTTAAATAGACACCGTCAAATAACTTAAGAATAAGGTCTTACATGAAAAAACTACTTTAATTTTATCGATGAAAGGTTTTAATTCAAGTAGGACATTCTATTGCCCCCCCCCCCCCTAA